GGGAGATCCTGAGGCAGGAACAATGCAAGTTCCAGCCTGGGCAAACTAGTAACTTAGTGATACTCTGTCTTAAAACTAAAAACTAAAAATGGGCTAGAGGGTATAGCTCAGTATGAAGGCTCTGGGTTTAATACTGCATTACACATAAAAAAAAAAGAAATATGTGTCTAGAAATAAAAACATTTACATACAATTAGGATAGTTACTAAAATAAATTTAAAAAACCCCAAATCTTTCAAAAGAATGACATTTCAAATGTACAAAACCAGGTATTTCTGTTTTTGTTGTTCTTTTTTTTTACCGGGATCGAACTCGGGACCTTGTGCTTGCGAGGCAGGCAGCAGAAACACTGAGCTAAATCCCTGGACCTTGGCATTTCTGAAAAAGCATATATTCTATATATTCTCTTATTTCAGAATACCCTTTTCTGGGGGATATATAACCCTGCTTGCAAAATATAACTGTTTTAATAGAAATCACAAGGTCTAACAGAATTATCATTTTTCTCTAGAATACAAGATTTACATTTACTTGGTACTTTATAAGGTGTGAGAGTTAAAAGGGCAATTACGTGATGTTTAAGCCTAGTGATGAAGGTCATGTTACTAATCATCAAAACAATCAACTCTTACCTTCTCTACTTAGCGAAACAGTTTTTAGTAAGTAATCTTATTAATTATATCAAATTCTCAGTGAATTCTATAAATTCTGTTATAGACATATAGTACTAATCCTAAATTTCAAATGTTTAACCATTTGCGCATACTAGTATACTTATATGTATGTTTCCACACCATGCTATTTGACAATGTATTAATTTATAACTTTCATATCTTTAGTATGGATTTTATGTAATCAACTAAATGTAGTTTGTCCTTTTTAATGCATCTGGCTTTTGGTGGGGGGCTGTGCTGGGGGTCAAGCCCAGGGCCTTGCGCATGCCAGGCAATCATTCTGCCAGAGCTACTTTCCCAGGCCCCAAGGCCCCAGACTTGGGGCTTGAACTCTAGTTAGCTATTACTGATGCTGCCATTTCTATTTTCTTCTTGTTCACATTTACCAGATAAACATGTTTATGTTTTTATTATTAACCTTTTGGCACCACTTTCTTTTAGGTTTAACTCAATCCAGGTATGGTTCAAATTATCTTTCAAAAAAAGGGTTTAGCTTTCTTCAAAGATTTAATCCATATATTTACATTAACTGTCATAAGGGCTATATTTGTTCTAGGATTGTGTTTTTCTCTAATCTGGAAAATTCTTCTGTTTGATTTTGCCATTGGTTTTATCTTCTGATGGGATTTGGGATACTGGAATTTTATGCACAATTCTACTAGTTGTTACCTCTCATATGCAAACTTCAAATGATTAAGACAAAAAAAAAAACACAGAAGAGAAAACTGAAAACTCTTGATATTTTCTTCTATTCTTCTCCTTTCCACGCTAGACAAAAAATGTAGAACTTTACTTTATTTGCCCCTCTATCAAGCCTTATAATCAAGTCTCTATGTCTTAATTCAAAAAAATATAATACATTGCTCAATTAGCTAGGTATACACTAATTTTGATCTATACTTCACTTTCTACTAATATGGCTTCCGGAGAATTCTTGTTCTCAGGTAGGCTTTTTAGTCGGTGACCTGCACTTCTGGTATTATGTCTTTCATAGTTTTTCTCCTTTCCTTTTTAATTCTGAAAGGGCTTCTCTTCCACCATGTATTTGATTTACTTTAATAATCCCTGTTCTTTAGTGCTTCGCACATAAGTTTTTTTACTGTTATGAAAAAAAAATTATGAAAATATTTTATGAAAAAAACCAACAAAATTTCATAACAAAATAATAAGAGAATAACAAAGTTAATGCGCTGTGTATCCTTATCTTCCAAGTAGTTACTCAGAGTATGAGGCACAGACCAAAAATATTCTTACAAAGAACAGATAATACAAAATTTTATTTTCAATGAACTAAGATAAACTAGTATAAATAAAACAAATTAGCACATATGTGTGTGTCTGTGTGTAAAGAATTAAGCCCAGAAATCTATACTGGTTTCTTACTATCAAATATATATCTATATATATCTATATATAGATATATATAGATATATATAGATATATATTTGAAACAACAGAATAGGTAATTTGTGTATTTGAAGTTATATTTCCTGTTTATCTCTCTCCTGTTTTGTATGTTTGTATTTTGTGTTTCTCCTGCAAGTGAAACCATGTGATATTTACGCTTACGTCCAATTTATTTCACTTTGCTGTTACATTTCTAGGTTTTCTTGCCTTCTTCCTGCTATTCTTTTGTGTCTCTAGCCTTTCTGTTCTAAATCTATTCTCTTCTTACAGTTTTCTACTGATGTTTCAAAGAGGTTGGTTGGGTCCTTGAACATTTTTTGAGAAGGCTAATAATACTGCTTCTCAAGTTTTCCTCTGAGTCATTAAAAAATTTTTTAAAAATTCTCTGGAATCAGTTTTTATGCTCATTCCTCAGGAAAGTCATTTTTCTTTAGTTTCTAATTTCTTCTAAATAGAAATGGGTCCCAAATAATTTGGGTTGAGTAGTTCTTAAGGGGGAACAATTAAACCAGGAGGGACTGATGTTTAGTAACGGTGCCATTACTAACACAGTGGGTGTGCAGACTACAGTTTGTGTCATTGTCTACTTGGCTGTGGGCAATGGATTTAGCCTTGAAGAGCTAATTTCTGAGTCAGACTTAGAGCAATCGATGAAGCCCCTTTGGTAGACTTGCTGTTTGGATCAATGTTATGACAAAGCTGGAGAATCAGAAAAAAAAGTGTAGTTTGTTGTTGAACATTATACACTTGAAAGCACATATTTAATCCATGAAGCTTTCTGCTTTTTAGCCCTCTCTCAAACGCTTTTCTTAGGTGACTAAGATCCCAGGGAGATCCACTCTCCTCTCCATTGTTTTTTTATGCTGAGCATTCCAGTCTTTGAATAGATATAGAAATTAAGAGGCTGATGGGGGTAGAGAGGTGAAAAAGAATACACAACTCAGCTCTGGATGATTTGGAAAGTAAACTTCTGCTCAGCTGGGGGAGCAGCACTTGATTTTCTCGTCAGTATAGTAGACAGGGAAATGAACCCAAGTGTCCCTTTCTTTCCTTTTCTCTCTGTGGCCATTTATATCACGTAGATGGAGCAACAGAAAGTCTGCAAGGGAAAAATAAGTTCTCAGTCCATCTCCACTGATGGTGTGACCTTCAGGTAAGAGTTTCTTTTACCACTGCTATGGCGCTGTCTCTACCTGTCTTCTGTACCCTGACTGGAATTTATATGGGAATCTGGGAGCGGCACACATAGTCTGCCATCTGCCTAAATTATAAGCTTACATTTCATGAAAATCTGAAGTTCCCACAAAGAGAAGCCCATAGGGAGGTAGGGAAGCTGAGGAATGAAGTAGGAAGAGACCTGGGTAAAATAGATATGAAAGTGTCATTTCCCACAAGTACAGTTCTTCCCTTGCTTTATGATGCTGAGCGAAGGTGTATGAAGAAACACATTCACAACTTGATAATCCATCTTTCTCACTATATGCTAAATATATGCTGAATATTTTCATTAATATTGATAGAATGAAGCCCAGAATCTACACTGGTTTCTCACTGTCAGAAACATGACTAGCAATTTTCAGCTATTAAGAACACAGCCACCAAGTCCCCCGAAGACTGTGTAAACACAGTAATACCGTAACTCTGCACCTATACTGGTGCTTTGGCTCAGAAGTCTTCAGGGAGAAGTGTGGGCCCAAAACTCCTTTAACACATTTTAAAACCTGAGACCTATAATTCTTGCCAGTGAGGTCCAGGCATCTCTAAAAAGCTTCACATAGTGCAACTACAAACAACAACAACAACAACAAAACAGAAATTAGCAGGAGTTGACAGGGATTAAAACAAATTGGAACTCTCGTGCATAGCTGGTGAAAATGTAAAATCATGCAGCTGTTTGGTAAAACAGAATGGCAGTTCCTCAAAAATTAAGTGCAGACTTTCACGTGGCTAGGTAATTCTGTGTCTTGGAAGACACTGAATAGAGCTGAAATCAAGGACGTAGACGTAGATACTCGTGTGCCTGTGTTCATAACAGCATTATTCACAACAGCTGAAGGACGGAAGCGACCCAAGCATCCACTGATGCCCGGCTAAATGCAGCAAACTCAGCATAGAATTATTACTTAGGAACTTCTGATAATGCAACAGCAAAGGTGGACCTCGGAGATGTCATGTTAGGTGAAACAAGCTAGTGACAGCAGGAAAACACAGTCTGATTCTGCTTTTATGAGGGACCTAGAATAATCAAAGTCATAGAGAAGAAAGCTGTGCTGGGTTGGGAGGACCCAGGAGAGTCTCACATTTAAGCCCAGCCTGGGAATCACAGTGACTTTAGTGAGAGACTGTTTCAACAACAACAACAAA